TATAATATCGGCCCAGTTTTACTTATCGGACCGATACCGATATTAGTGCCGATATATCGTGCATCCCTAAACAAAAGTCACCATGGTCTCTGTTATCTTTAAGTTTTACAGAGAACTATCTGGTAATGTTAGAGATTTCTTAGTTTCTTTTGTTTTGCCCCAGACAACTTGTCAGAAGCTAACGTTAGCACTGAACYTCAACCGGATGTAAACGTACGGCAAGCCAGGAGTACACAAAGAAACGCGCCTCAGCTTCATCACACACAAGACGTCATGGGGAAACATTGATCTGATGCCCTATGAATTGATTTCCCCACATTTAAATGAAATCCATCAGGGATTGATTGATTAATTAATTTTTTTTACCCAGCCCTATTGTTTTATACGTCTTTTCAGATAAACTGTACGGCAACGCCGCAGGAAAAGCCCCTGCTATGGGTGGTATGGTTGGACCGGGCAGCAGCTTCAGCACATCTTACCCCCTGAGCGCCATGTCCTCCTCGGCGCCGGTTTTAGCCTCCAGCAGTGCCAAGGCAGAAGGCTTCCATTCGATGCCTCCTCCTGTGGATCAGCAGAGCCCCTACAGCTACGGGTACGGAGGCGAGAAGAAGAAGATGCTGATCCAGAGTCGGAATTCAGGGGAAGATTTCTCCGTCTACAGCACAGCGTATCCCAGTTCAGTCACAGGAGGACACAGCTACAATAGTTCTGGTAAGAAAGGCTTGAGAATGTTTTTGTAAACTGGTTTATAGATGAGCAGATAAATGGGAAAAAATGTCTTGTGGTTTGACTTCTCCACTCAGGGTGGGGGAACCAGTCGTCCTGGGGGAATCAGCATGGATTTGGCTCTGAAGGATAAAACCAGAGCTTTTCTGGACACAACACAACTTTCTGATCCTCGAACCTCACACTGCTGTCTTTTAATCTTCAGCCGGGATCCAGAAAAAACACATCTGTTAACAGAACCGTTTTTGGTGAAACTGTTGCGTTGCTCTTTTGTTTTAATCACCTGATATATGTAGTTTTTTGACACCAGATTGTCAGTAAAGTTTACTTTTTTTAGCTTCTGTATCAGTTTATCAGCAGAATGTGATTGAGTCGAGGCTGCTTGTAGTTTTGAAATAAATGTTTATCATTGTCATTAAGACGCTCCAAACTTTCTTTACAGAATGACCGGTTGTTTGCGTACACTCTGTAATTTTCAGTTTCCTTGAAAGATTATTGAACATTAAAGCTGTCYGCTGAGGTCAGGAGTGCAGCTTTTATCACTGAGTACAGCCAACTTCATCTTTCCCCGAAAACACCACTTTTTAATTTTCTGCTCTCACAAAAGCTTCAGCAGCACAAAGTTTTAAATTGGTTTAAAGTGCCTGTGACATGCATATCTATGAAATACAAAAAGTCAAAGAAAATATGTTTATATTTAAGAAGCTTGGCATAATACACATGATTTTATCCGTTATGTCACATAATTGGCATATTTTCCTCAGCTAAAGTGAAACGGGAAGTGACATCAAAGGGGAACTCTTTGAGAAAGAAAACTGCTTTTTGTTTATTGAAACATTATTTGAATTATGATTCTCATCTCTCTATGATAGTGATTAAAATAATCTAAAGAAACATCAGACTCTCTWCAGTCTGCTGTTTGCCACTTTAGCAACGCTCTGTTTACATTCAGACATTCACCTTTGACATCACTTCCTGTTTCTTTACACGTGAATATCTCAACAACTGTTCATCTCGGCGGCATAAAATCTTTTTTACAATATGTTATCAATGTTATCTTTCCAACAATACATTCATATAAATATTTGATGTCACAGGCACTTTAAATGTGACGGTGTGTGCGTGAAGACGAGAAATCCTTGTGAAAGGAAGCCACAACAGTCGACWGGTCTACAGACTTGATTAAATGTTACAAATGACTGTTGTAGGGGGCCAAAGTGTTGATTTATTTATCTCAAATCAGATCTGATTACTTTTTAATGATAGAAGGTCGGGGATTATTTGAAGGAATTGACAAAGTTACAGCCTTTTATAAAGAGACACAAGTTAAACTTTTTCACCTTTTTGCCTTTGGGCTTACATAAGAGAAGCAGATTTTGTATCCAAATTTCTTTAAACTTTCAGTCAAATGTCAGCTTTAATCAAATCTGAATGTCTTAT